AAAAAGAAAACTGAATGGGGCATAATGCAGTGATAAGGGAAACAGATTTCAGGTTGGCATTAGTCAGTCAAAAACAGACAAATTGGAGAAGTTCCTAGAAGAACACCCATGATAATCAGAGGATGGGGAGGGATGACTGATTTCTAAAAGAAGAAGAAACAGTATGTCCCATTATGCTTGAAAATGGGCCAACAGGGAGGGAAGTGATGAGATCCAATAGGAACGTAAAGGCAAAGAGGAACAGAGTGGTGTTGGCGTGGCATAAGGAAGGATTATCCAGGAATAATGTAATAAAATCAAGAATAGCCTCAGTCAGGTTAAAGTCTAGCAACAGCTTCCTGGAAATGATAGGTTTTAGATTATGCCATTTGATGAACAGATCTGATATGTTTTAAATGTCTTATAAAACTCTCTGGAAGGTTTAGCCCAAAAAAGCAGATGCCCATATTCATGTGACCAACATAGCCTGCTTCGTCGACTCAGAACCTTCATTGCTGCACATATTACCACATCTCCTTTATTTTCCCAAACCTGCCCTATTATCAGGATATGAAGTCTTTCTTGAGACCCCCCAGCTTCCCTAGAGCCAAAAAGAGACCATCTTGCTTGTGAACTGGAATCTGAGAGTTTATCCACTGCCTTGGCTTCACCACCACTGATGACTGTTCCTACCTGGTGGGCAGACCCGTGTCCAGTGCCGCTGGACAGTCATCAGGCCCCTACTTGGACCTCAGTGGAACTCCACCCTGGGTTCCCAAGTAACATCTTTTAGATTTCAGCCCCTTGGGTAGCCACGGCTCCCAAAACAAACCTCTGGGCTAAGATACCCAGTACTGGAGGAGCTACTAGCATCGCCCCACCTACAGTGCCTAAATATCCTCCCAGGTTTGGGTTCCCCATTTCCCAAAGGTAATTTCACTTCAAGGGACTTGTCACCCCCACCCCCTTTACTCGGGGATACCATGATCTATCTAAACAGATCTTCCTAACTTGGCATCTATGGGAGCCAGAGATTCGGGTCCTAGTTCCTTCTCCCCCAGAAGACTTTGGTGTCTTCCTATATGCTGTCCACCCCATTCTCTGCACCCAGCTCTGCAGTGTCAGCATGATCGGTATTCATAGGGCCACAGAAAGCTCGCTTCTCTCAAATAAAATGACGATATCCCACTCCCATGATCAATTGGCTGTTTCTTTTACAGAGTCTTAGACTCATAGAATTGTAGATCTGTACGAACTTTGCTGGTTTTCTAGTCCAAACTTTTCATTTTATAAACACAAAAGCAGGTCCAGAGAAGCAATTCATCTGAAGTCCACAAAGCCAGTCAGTGCCAGAACGGGACCAGAAGCCCTGGTCCACTCCTCCTTCCACTGCACTTCGCTTTCGTTTCTCTCTTGATTTTATTTAATTTCATGTTCCGCTGGAAAACTAAAGCCTGCATCTTTTATAGTAAGCTTCTTTCTTGTTGGTATAGGTGCATTAATAAATGGATTATAAAAATGGGATGTCTCATAAATCTACTTCTTCTTATGAATTATGCACACCATTTACATCCTAGAACACCCAGTTTTGAGTGCTGCCTGCAAACAAAATGTTAGGAACTGGAATCCAACAATGTATAAAAAGACAAACACATTATGCTTAAATAGAGGTTATCCTGGAAATTCAAGATTGGTTTTACATTAAAAAATTAATCACTGTTATTCACCTTATTAACGTACCTTAAAAAAAGAAAAGAAAAACTATGTAACTATCTCAATAGATGCAGAAAAACTATTTGTCAAAATCCAGCATCCAGTCCTGATTTTTAAAAAATAAACTCCTAGCAAATTAGGAATAGAAAGAAACTTCCTCAGCTCAGTAGGGGTATCTATGAAATACCTATAGCTACCATCATAAATAACAGTGAGAGGCTGAATATGTTTCCCCTGACACAGGGAACAAGGCAATGGTATTTGCTCTTACCATGTATAATCAGCATTGTACTAAAGGTACAGTGCAGTACCAATGCAGTAAGGCAACAAAAGACCTGGAAGTCATCCAGATTGGAAAGGAAGTCAAATGTCTCCATTTATAGACAACATAATCTCCACAGAACATGTATGGAATCTACCAGAGCAAAAAGTCTATAAAAATTAATAAGCAAGTTAGGCAAAGCTGCAGGATACAAGATCAATATACAAAAAATATTTATGTTTCTATATAATAACAGTGAAAAATCATAAATTTAAATTAAAAAACTAAACCACTTATAATTACATTAACGTATTAATATCTAGGTATAAATCTGACAAAAGATATGACCTTGGTAAGCAAAGATATTTTTAGATACACCACCAAAAGCATGATTCATAAAAGAAAGAAATTGCTGAATTGGACTTTATCAAATGAAAACTTTATGCTATTTTAAAAACACCATTAAGAGAATGAAAAGATGCCCTAGCCAGTTTGCTCAGTGGTTAGAGCGTCGGCCTGCGGTCTCGAGAGACCGGGGTTCGGTTCCCGCTAAGGGCACGTACCTCGGTTGCAGTTTGTCCCCGGCCCTGGTTAGATTGTGCGGGTGGCTGTCCCTTTCACGTCGATGTTTCTCTCTCTCTCTCTTCCTCTCTCTCCTTCCCACTCTATCTGAACAAAAAAATGGAAAAATGTCCTCCGGTGAGGATTTAAAAAAAGAGAGAGAGAATGAAAAGACAAGCTACAGGCTCAGAAAATATTTGGAAATCACACATCTGATAAAAGACTTTTATTCAGAATATATAAAAACATCTTAAAACTCAATACAGGCATTCCTTGGAGATGTGGGTTTGGTTCCAGATCACAGCAATAAAGTGAGCATCTCAATAAAGCAAGTCATAATCTTTTTGCTGGTGGAGGTTCTTGCCATCAATTTGTAAAAAAACAAACAAACATCTGTGAAGCATAATAAAGTGAGGTATGTCTGTAATAAGGAAACAAAACAATTTTACAAAATGGGCAAAGAATCTGGATAGACTTCTCTCCACAGAAGACAGATGAAAGAGCACATGAGAGATGTTCAACATCGTCATTCAGTTAAAACCACAAAAAGATCCCACAGTATACCTGTTAGCATGGCCCAAATGTAGAAAGACTGACCATACTAAGTGGTGGCAAGGATGTGAAGGAACTGAACACATGTATACTGCTGTTGAAAATATGAAATGGTACAAGAAAACAGAGGCAGTTTCTTAAAAGTTATAGCCCTGGCCAGTGTGGCTCAGTTGGTTGGGCGTCATTACTGTGCACTAAAAGTTCAATCCCTGGTCAGGGTACATGTCCTGGTTGTGGGCTCAGTCCCTGGCAGGGGGCATGCAGGAGGCAGCCAATCGATGTTTCACTCACATTGATGTTTCTTCCTCTCTCTCTCAAAATCAATACAAAAGATCTTTTAAAGAAAGTTAGACTTATACATACCAAATGATCTTTCCATTCTATCCCAAGGTATTTACACAAGAGGAATGAAAGGCTATGGTCAAAGAAAGATGTATACACTAATCTGTAGCAGCTTTATTTGTTTTTGTTTTTTGTTTTTTTTGTTGTTGAACATATTTAGCAGCTTTATTTGTTTTTGTTTTTTTGTTGTTGTTGTTGTTGAACATATTACTAATGTCCCCCTTTTTCCCCATTGACTCCCTCCTTCCTGCTCCCATCCCCCTCCTGCCTTCCCCAGCCTAGTACCCATGTTGATTGGTTGTTATAACAGCTTTATTTGTCATAGCCAAAAACTGGAAGCACTCAAATCTCCATCAGTAGCTGAACGGATAAAAAATTGCGCTCTGTACAATAGGACACTACCTGGCAAAAAAGGATCACACAGCTAATGCACACAGCATGGATGAATCATAAAATAACTGCTGCGTAAAAGAAGCCACACATAAAAGGGTACAATCTGTATGATTCCATTTGTATAAAATACAGAAAATGACAAATAATATGCAGTGTCAGAGCAGACCTGTGGTTTGGGTGGGGCACAGAGAGGTGCAAGGACGGGACTGTTAAGGGGCATAAAGAGATTTTTGTTGATGAAGGATGTGTTCACTGTCTTGATTGCCAAAATATATCAAACTGCACACCATAAATGTATGCAGTTTATTGTACATTAGAGTTAACAAATAAATAAGCATAAAGTCAAAAAGAAAGTAAGACTCTCTGTCGGAATTCATACTAGTAGTAAACATCGCTGAAAAATGAATTTATGTAAATTAATTACAGATACGGTTATTTTCAATATGTCAGTGGACACTTTTTAAAGGAAAGAACCGATTCTTGTGAAAGTGATCGTCACTGTCGAATACGTCTTTGTTAGGACTCCTGTTGTGACATTTTGTGGTTCCTTAAAGAGCATGTACGTCAGGTCTGGGGATGACAACAGCACAATTCCACTTCTCCTCAAGAGCAGCGACAACATGGTGTTGGCTGTGCTTTGCCGTGAAGTGGCCAAGAGCAATGGCAGGAGCTGCTGGATCTACTGTTTAGTACACAGGCAGTTTAGATCACTTGTTAAATTATGTATTGTGATTAGATGTTTGGTATCTTAGCCAATTTTCAACCTAACAACGTACATGTATTTAAATCAAGAAAGCATTACAAATACTTCCAAAATGATTCATTTCCTCTTAACACAAAGCTCAAATTAATACTTGTATTGGGACTGTGTATACATGAACGTTTCTTTTCAGTTGGCAAACAAAGTCAAAACTACCAAGTTTTAAAGTATATATGTGTTTTGAATGTTTTGGGTGTTCCGTTAAAAGGCTTCATTTCCATTGGGTAAAAGGACGCAATAAATGGAAAGGATAAAGTCAGGCATAAAACGCGACTTTCTAGTATGTTCTCTGTGCTCCTTGCGCTGAGCACGAATAGGCTAAGGAGCAGTTCTGCCCCCCTCTGTCGGGCTCCTGGCCCTGAGCCTCAGGCACCCTGACCTTCCTTCTCACCTTCTCTGTGACTCAGATCGTGGTGACCCGGCCTCTCTTTCTTCCAGGGTGTGAACGGCATGTCTGTGGATGAGAAGCCTGACTCCCCCATGTATGTGTATGAGTCCACAGTCCACTGCACCAACATCCTCCTTGGCCTCAATGACCAGCGGAAAAAGGATATTCTCTGTGACGTGACCCTGATCGTGGAGAGGAAGGAGTTCCGGGCCCACCGGGCTGTGCTGGCTGCGTGCAGCGAATACTTCTGGCAGGCACTGGTCGGACAGACGAAAAATGACTTGGTGGTCAGCTTGCCTGAGGAGGTACAGTAGTCTGGTTCGACTGTGTGTTGCTAACGGAGGTGTATTGACTTGTTTCCAGTTGGCTGAATGGGAGCTGGAAGGTGGACCCTGTGCCACATCCCCCTCGGGGCTGATGTCCAGGTCCCCCGTCGTGAGGTTTGTGGCAGAGCCAGTTTCTGTTTGATGCATGTGAAGTCTCGGAGGCACAATCGGAACAGCATCTTCGTGAAGGGAACTGAACCCCACCTGTGGCTCACAGTCACATATGGTTTCTGGTTCACTTACTCTTCAGGTTTTGAGTAGTTTAGCCAAAGTTCGGTGCAGTCCTAGATGTGGGATCTGAATCACTGGGACTGTTGCTATGATTTTTCTGTTTCAAATGATTGAAGAAGCGCTCGATTTCCCCTGAGAGTTGAAGAATGAGAGTATTCGCAGCACCTTTCTTGCTTGGGGAAAAAGTAAAAGCAAGCAGTACTTTTGACAGTTAACATAGTAAGATTCTAAGAAGTGTAAACTTGCTTTTCTCACCATTGTTGAAAATACCCTACTCAGGTTTCTTAATTACTTCAGGGAGTCCAGTCATTTCTGCCCATCGAGCACACTGGTAGCTGGACCTGCTCTGTCCAGAGATGATGTTCAGTTGGAGGGTTTGAGCTGCAAGAATTCAAGGGGTGGGCTTCACATCAACACACCATTGAATTGGTCACCCTTTGAACTATGTGTACAGTTTCTCTTCTCCCATCACCCTGACTCCCCTTCCTTCTCGTGGGGCCGAGGGTTACACTGAGCAGCCGTCGACTGTGCGAGGGCCAGCGTGGTCCCTGGGCACCGGCACAGTGTGCAGCCAGGGCCACCCCTGCTCAGCTCTCAGGGCGCAGCGCACACCCAGAGCCCACCCCAGAGCTGTGCACGTCCACCGAGCAGCTCCCCACAGCAGTCCTAGGAGAAACCAAACCCCGTCGCCCTGATGGGAGTTTCTGATGAACTAGCATTTACCAAAGGCCTGGTAAAAATATAAATGACTGGCCCTGGCCGGTTTGGCTCAGCGGTTAGAGCGTTGGCCTGCGGTCCAGAGAGACCTGGGTTCGGTTCCCGCTAAGGGCATGTACTTCGGTTGCAGTTTGTCCCCGGCCCTGATTGGTCAAGCAGGTGACAACCACTCGATGTGTCCCTTTCACGTCGATGTTTCTCTCTCTCTCTCTCCCTCCCACTCTATCTGAACAAAAAAGTATATATAAATGAGTGAAGAGAGTATGTATAAGACAGTAGGAAGTGGTGGGGCAAGTACCTGCTCTACAGAAAGGCATCCAAATTCAACATTAAAAACAAATAGCCAGCCCTGGCTGGTGTGGCTTGGTTGGTTGGGTGTCGCCCCATACACGCGAAGGTCGCCGGCTTGATTCATGGTCAGAGCACATGCCTGGGCTGTAGGCTGGATCCCTGATGGGGGACATGCAGTAGGCATCCTGATCGATGTTTCCCTCTCACATCCATGTCTCTCTCTCTATCTCCCTTCCCTTCCTTTCTCTCTGAAAAGCAATTAAAAATCTTTAAAAAAAAAACAAGAGAACAGCCTTGGCTGGTTTGGCTTAGTGGTTAGAGCGTCGATCCACAGACCAAGGAGTCATGGGTTCGATTCCAGCCAAGGGCACGTACCTAGGTTACAGTTAGGTCCCAGCCCTGGTTGGAGTCCTGCAGGAGGCAGCCAGTGGATGTGTGTCTCTCACGTCGATGTTTCTCTCTCTCTCTCCCTCCTTCCCACTCTATCTGAAGATAAATGGGGGAAAAAGTTTCCTCGGGTGAGGATTAAAAAAAAGAAAAATAAGCAAACAAATAAATAGCCACACAAGTAGACATGGGGATCAGAGAGGATCGCCAGATCCGGTCGCTATTAAGCAGCATCCCCTGTGACTCCTGGAGAGGGAGAGGGGCCCCCTGATAACTTGAGAACCCCATAAGTCTCCCTACTGACCCTCATGGCACTTACAAGTAGGTAACTAGAATGACCCCGATTCTAGAAGCCAACGGACAAGTCAGTTGAAGGTGACGTAACTGGGGCTGGGGCAGGCAGGGAAGCCTATGTACCGAGTAATGTGGGAAGGCCAAGGAACGGCAGCTGGGTTTTCCTCATCCTCATTAGTGGGTGAATACTCATCATTAGGGAGATGATAAATATAAAAGTTCTCAGCACGGTCCCTGTCCTATAGGAAACGTTTGTCATATGTAAAACCCTTCCTTCTTCTCTAGACGGGAAGCAAGAATGCCTTTTGAATTTATTCCAACTTTAGAATTCCCTGGAAATATTTGGAAAACCTTTAATTATCCAAAATTGTCTTTGGGAGGAATGTGAAACTACAGTTAATTTATTGTCTGTATCTCTTTGAGAGCCACCTCATTTATATAGATTATTACTGATTTTCAGAAAATTAGATTATATTAAAATATATTTACAGACAAAAACCATATCTTATGTAATTAGTTTCTCTTCAGTGACTCCCCGGACCGTGAGCCGAAGCCATGGCTGCCCCCAGTTACCTGGGACCCTGATCTAGTCATTTAACTTCTGTGAGCCCCAGTTCTCATCTGTAAAAACCCCTAAAAGTCTGCTGGCTGTGAAGTACTTATCATAATACAATGCCAAGGCAGTACAATTTAAACAAAACCGAGATATAAATGCATGCAGCGTAACCTGAACGTTTCTATTTAGATCAAATCACTGACAGCCTCTTATTTCCTTGGCACTGGGCACTCCAAAGTAAGAGGCACACTGCAGTCATCATGCAAAACCCTGTCATTTGACCTTTCTGATTGTTTGTGTTGCAGTTATGTGGGAATTCGCAGTGTGTTGGTTTTCTTCCTTCCTAGCCATGTAGAATGATGGCAGTCCCTACATCGGCTGCATTTCCAAACCATTTAAACATTCTGATTGGCCACATACCTGAAACCTTCCTATATAACTTTGTTCTTCCTAGGAGACAGGAATTCCTATTGTCAGTAACCCCACTCTAAGTGTCCTGCTGATGGGGCATGCCAGCCGGCCCCAGGGGCATTTGCCTTTGTGGATCTGTCATTGTGTCAGGCCTCCTTCCAGGAGCCCCACTGCCCAGGGCACCCTGCTGTGGCCCCAAGCACCAGGCATTGTTCCTTTTCCTTGCCGTGTACACACTGAAATGTCCTTGCAGGCTTTGTGGTTATTGTCCCTCTTAGCTCAGTGAATGACTTCATAGAAGCTGAATTAAGTGGTGAATAAACAAGAAACCCCAAAGACTACCTTGCAAAGTAGCTGCCTGGAACTACCTGGCATTTGGTTCATATGATGTAAGAAAAAGCATTTGATTAGTCTCCTGGAAATCTTTGAACCTTATCATAAATCTATCACCGAAATCAAATCAACTTCTGGACCCGTCCCAGTCTTGTTCACACTTGGCCCACCTCTGTACTCCCCATTTAGATAGTGTATTTCTCAGGGGCCAGCACGGCCAAGTCTGAGAGTCCTCCTTGGACTATGAAACCTCGGGAACAGACTGCCACCACTCCTGCCCCCTGCTTGATCAGTTTAGGCCAAACCGAGCTCTGCCCCCAGTTGCTGTCCAGTTGTACATTTCTACCCCACATCCTGGGTATTGCCTGGCACGCAGTTACCAGCAAATGAGAGCCACAGTGCGGTGTAGCCTCTTAACTTCAAGGAGAAGAGAGAAAATAGAGATCTCCTTCCAGAAACCAAGAAGTAATTGAATTGTCTTGTTCCCTCCCCCGACCAATCGGAGTGACAGATAGTCTCTAGGAGTCATATGACTTGAGTGTTGGCTCCCAGTTGAAAAAACACACCCAGGAATGTGTGTCCGTAAACAGTAGAAGAGAAGGAATTGTGCTTAGTGCTTTCTTTAAATAATGAAACAGATCATTTAATTTATAGTTAGTAACTGTTTTGTGCTAAGAGATAAAGAGAAGGTGGTTGATGTGCCAAGCATTGTGAGGCCATTATCCCACTGCTCATTAGTATTCAAGTTGGCTCAGCAAACACCTCCTTAGCTAGAGTCACAGAAACCATTTGGGGCTGGATGCCTACCACGCTGGGAATGCATCACAGTCATGAAGTTCACTCTTGCGGTGTGTCGAGCGTAAATGGCAGGAATGGGGTGTGCTTCCTTAGAAGACACGGAACCCACAATGAGTTTGCCATTCAATCCCATTCTTGGGCTGCTTGGCTTCCTCCCAAAATACTAGGAGAAGAGTAGCGGTTAAGAGGTTTTGCCAAGGTCTAATATCAAAAAGTCAAAAGTTAACAAGTTTTGGCAAGGGTGCAGAGAAAGGGGAATCCTGTACACTGTTGGTGGGGATGTAAATTGATACAGCCATTGTAGAAAACAGTATGGAGGTTCCTCAAAAAGTTAAAAATAGATCTACCATGTGATCTAGCAGTCCCACTTCTGGGTGTGTGTCTGGAAGAAATGAAATCACTATCTTGAAGAGATTTCTGTACTCCTGTGTTCAGTGCAGCATTGTTCACAATAGCCAAGATGTGGAAACAACCTGGATGTCTACTGACCTATAAGTGGATAGAGAATTTGTGATACACACACACAATAGAATATTATTCAGTCTTTTAAAAAAAAAGGAAATCCTGCTATTTGCAGCAATGTGGGTAAACCTAGGGGACATTATGCTAAGTGAAAAAAAGCCAGACATAGAAAGACAAATATTGCATAATCTCACTTGTATGTGGCATCTAAAAAAAAAAGACAAACTGCCCGACTAGTGTGGCTCACTGGTTGAGCATCGACCCACGCACCAAGAAGAGGTCGTCAGTTTGATTCCTGGTCAGGGCACATGCTCAGGTTGTGGGCCAAATCCCCAGTGTGGGGCATTCAGGAGGCGGCCAGTTGATGTTCTCTCTCATCAATGTTTGTGTCTCTCTCTCCCTTTTCCTTCCTCTCTCTCTAAAATCAATAAAGAAAGAAAAATTTAAAAACAAAAAGACAAACTCATCTAACAAAGAGAGTATAATGGTTAGTACCAGG